CCAATTAGTAAAAATACAATAATAATGGAAATACAAATTATGATATATTTATATAATTGCTCTATTATTATTAGTGCTTCGTTAGATATAAAAATAAAAAATGTATCTTCAATATTATCAGAACCTTTAGCTTTTGGGACTATGGGCTCATACTGTTTGTTGGGGCTGGACTAACACTCTAGAGACTTTGAGCTAACACTGTATGCCTTGGACTGACACTGTTTTGAGAGCTCTGGTCTAATACTGTTTACTCGCGCCAGAAAAAACAGAAGCGGTGCTACTGATCGGAAGGAGGAAAACAAGACCAATAAAATTTACCATATCAGGCACAGAAATAACGCCGAAGAAAGTCATTAAATACCTGTGGGTCTCCATTGACAGTATCCTGAGCTACGCCGAGAATATCAGGGCAGTAGCCATCCGAGCAGCAGAAACAACTACGGCTGTAAGCAGGTTGATGCATAACAAGGGTGTGCCGAAGTCTAGCAAGAGAAGATTGCTAGGAGTAGTGGCACAATCTATTATGCTGTACGCTGCTCCTATATGGGAACAGGCAATGATAGTTCTAAGCTATAGGAAAGTGCTAGAAACGGTTCAACGGAGAGGAGAAATTAGGATATGCAGCGCGTATAGGACAATTTCTCGAGACGCAGTGCAGGTGATAGCTGGTGTGCCACCAATAGAGCTCCTTGTTCTGGAGAGAGATGAGAGGCAGAGGGGCGCGACCAAAGTGGATGCTCAAGCCAGACTGCTGCAAAAATGGCAAGATAAATGGCACAGATCGGAAAAATTAGCCTGGACTCGGCGCCTAATCCCTTGGTTAAGCAGAAAGCACGGTGAAACAACATTTCACCTGAGCCAGGCGCTGTCTGGTCATGTATGCTTTGGCAAGTACCTGCACATTATTGCAAAGAAGAAAAAAGAAAGGTGCTGGTACTGTGAGAAGGACGATACCCCTGAGCACACGCTTTTTAGGTGCTGCAGATGGGTTAGAAGGAAGCACGAGGCGGAGGCAGAATTGGGAGTTCTGCTAGAGCCAGAAAATGTTATCAGTGAAATATTGCAGAGTGCGGAGAGCTGGGATATTGTAGCGTACATATCAGAGATGTTACTAAGCAAAGAAGAAGACTAGCGGAGGCTGCATAGGGCCTACGAGGACAGTGGCAGTGCAGTGCAGCATTAACATGATCTAAAGGAAATGCTCTGAGTTAACACTGTTTTAAAGCTTTGGACTAACACTAGTACTATCAATTTAACCCAAGTTTGGATTATTTGTGTTTATGAACTGGGCTCTGGGCTGCAGCCCAAAAAGATTAAGTCTAAATCTGCTCCATTTTATTTAAAGTGCAATAGTTCACAAATAAATTTTAATTCGTTTCTCTTTCTTTAACTATGAACTGTAAATTGAGAATTAATTTTACCTTAACTCTTTGAGTGGCCAGAAATTCCTAAATTTCTAGACCCAACAAATTTGTAGACAACTTCGTCAACTTGTTAATCATCAAATTGTATGGCCTATAATGATTCATCCCTTGGCTTACCAACCAAATTAAATGGTAATTCGTCTATTTTGAACATTATCTAGAAAATTATTTTCAATAGGTGAGACAATGTGTGTCCCACCACCATCAAAACATGATTGAGATCATAAATATGTATTTGGTAATAATTTATTTAGTGATCAAATAATAGCAATAGCAACAATGGACAACATTTAAAAACCAAAAGAAAGCAAAAAGATATTGAACTATCCTTTAACATATAAATATTGCTACTAGAATAATTTGGAATAAGGAATAAGAATAAGAAGAATGTATTTTAGTTTCATACATTTATTAATAATGATTTTGTATTTTTGTTCATTTAATAACATTATTCAACTTAACATTATTTTTCAAATTAATATACAAAATATACATCAAAATGTACCGAAAGCTAAGTAAAGTCAAAGTAACTATTTCTGAAATATATTTGAAACTTTTAATTCTGTAAAATTAAGTTTATTATAGATTTGCTTAATAAATAAATTGCTTTAACGTATCTACAATAAATACATTATAAAACGTATAGACAATATTCAATATTCCTTTGCTATGGTTTTTAATAATTTGAATTATCAATTTCGCCTTCATCGAAACTTATTACAAAAAAGAAGGAGAATTATCAATAATTGTTTAATTTATTTAAAACTAAATTTGAACATAATAATCATTATTCATCTACATTATTTCTACAATAAGTAATAACAACATTTTTTTAAAATTAATCCAAACAGAATCTTCTTAAGTTCTTCCTTTGCATAATTCATGCACTTTATCCCTAAAACTCAAAACGTTCTTTCCATTTTCGTCCTCGTAACCGGGCGCAGATTTTTTAACCCTCTCATACCATTTTATTATATTCTGGTATTGAGACAAATCAAAATCAAGTACATCCAAAGTACTTATGTAAGTGACTAAAGATAGATCAGCAATTGTCAATGTTTCTCCAGCGAAGAAAGCTGTTTTACCCAAAAGATTATTAATAATGTTTAGAACACTGCAAATACCTGGAATCGCAGATTTGTTTAGTACTGATTCCTCAAAGAACACCGGAAACTAAAAAATATGTAAATGTATACACAAAATGTATTACTTTTGGGATTTTATTTACAATGTAATCTCTGATATGCGGATTCAGAGCTACTATTTCGAAGTACAACCTCTGATCTACCATCGCTCGTTTCTTCGGATCCTTTGGATATAGTGCGTCAGTTTTTCCATATTTGTTGACTAAATAAGTCATAATGACTCTGCTCTCTCCTAGACTAAGATCTCCATCCTTCATTGTTGGTACAGTGTGAAGTGGATTCATCTAAAAATTATAATTTTATATTAATTAGATACCAGAAGGATAAGACAGCTGTGGGTCTTATTCATTTGCTATACTAAGATTTAGGGACCACGAGGTGGGGCCCACAAAAAATATTGGAATTAGAATATTTTTTTGTTAAGGTGCCCACGACAAATTTATGTTTGATAATTAGTGAAATTGATGTACCTTCAAGAAGTAAGGTTCAAATTGTTCACCTTCCATAACGTTTATGAAATTCAGATTCATTTTCAAATCGATGGCTCTAGCAGTCAGAAGGACGGCCCTGCATGGTGGACTACTTGGAACGTAGTAAAGTTCTACAACCATTGTGAATTGTGAATTTATTTTTTAATGTATGTTATTTTATAGTCAAATGCTTGCAGTTATTCTTTGTTCCTTTGTAATAACTAATTTATTTATAATGATCCTAATTATAAACAACAACAATAATATTATTTTTAGTTATTATTAGTAATTATATTAAAAACAATCTTTTGTTGTTGAGTATTTATATAAGTTATAGAGGTACTCAAGAAATTGGCCAGATGTAGGTGTATGATATAAAGAAATAGAACGTTTGTATTATTTATAAAATAAAAACTTTTATTAGAGCGTGCATTTTATGACAACTTTACAAAATCAAAGTATTATGCGTTTATTTGAGTTCTCTTTAATTTTTTTCTGTGAATTAAATATGTGCAGAAATCGGATGGTGCATCGTCTATCTGCCCTTCATCAGATTGTCGACGAGAGCCTTGAAGGCAAGAACGTTCTTGCCGTTGGCCTCCTCGTAACCTGGAGCGTTCTTCTTAACGACATCCAACCACCTGATGATGTTCTTGAAGGAGGACAGATCGAAGTCGACCACTTCCAAAGTGGTGACGGTGGCGACGAGTGTCAAGTCGGCGATGGTCAGTTGCTCACCGGCGGCGTAGGTGGACTTGGACAAGAAGGTGTCCAGGAATTGGAGAGCATCCATGATCTTGGTCTTCTTCTCAGGGTCGAAGGCGGCACCGGCGAAGTAAACTGGGTACTGTAATTTATTGTTAGTTAGTTTGATTACACTTCTTTTTCTTATATTTATGAAAGTAACTTACGTAGTAATCAGCCAAACGCTGGTACAATGTTCCCAAGTCGAAGAACATCCTTTGGTCAACGACGGCGCGCTTCACCGGGTCCTTGGGGTACAGGGAGTCGTCCTTGCCGTACTTGTTGACCAAGTATCCCATGATGGCGCGGCTCTCCCACAGACTGAATCCATTATCGTTGATGGTTGGAATAGTATGTTGTGGGTTGATCTAAATAAAAATTACAAAATACATTCATACAAATTGTTCTAATATACTTATTTTATAATTTTAGTAAACTTTTACTTTGAAACTCGACCGGAAAATGCGTAAACATCATTCAAATTAAGAAATTTCCTGTCATAGTTATATTTCCATTGCACATTATTTACACATAAGTAAAAAATATACATATTTCTACTTCTTTTCTCTATATAATTATACAGAAAATGACTGTACATTAATGTTCTATAATGATGCAACAAAAACATCGTGAAAAAACTATTGTTTTCAAAAACATTACAATTTGCTTTTCTAAATCATATTTTTATCACTGATTCTTCTAGAAACAATGTTTATCAAAATCTATATCACATTTTGATTTGTATTCAGTATTTGTAATTAATTGACAGTTTCAAAAATTATCTATTTAAAAAAAATGTCAATGTTTCGCATTGATTCTTCAAGAAACAATAATCTATGTCACGTTTTGATTGATATTCAGAATTTTTAATTAATTGACAGTTTCTAAAAGTATCCATATTCAAATGTTTTCAAGTATTTATTCAGTTACTTACTAATTTCTCTTTCGCTCTGATTCTTCACATTATGATTGACATTCAGAATTTGGAATTCATTGATAGTTTCAAAAAGTATTCCTATTCAATAATAATTCTTGTTATCAAGTAGTTATTCAGTTACTAACTAATGTCTGTTTCGCTCTGATTCTTCTAGAAACTACGTTTAAAGCAATCTATTTCACATTTTCATTGTTATTCAGAATTTGTATGTAATTGACAGTTTCAAAAAGTATCCCTGTTCAATAATGAATCATGATTTCAAGTAGTTATTCAGTTACTAATTAATTTCTGTTTCGTACTGATTCTTCTAGAAACAAGTTTTAAAACAATCTATGTCACAATTTGATTGAATTTGTAATGAAGCGATAGTTTTAAAAAGTATTCATATTCTATATAATGATCCATGTTTTCAAATAGTTATTCAGAAATCACAAGTTATATAATGATTCTTAGAAAACATTATTTTCCAACTAGCTATGATGAAAAAATTGCCTTTTCATGTGTATTTTCTTGTAGTCTTGGCTTAAGAACTAGTCCAATCTGCCAATAAATTCTAAAATAAGATTTATGCGCATTTCTTAAAGTTAATTAAATAAGTTGATTATGCATTTATATTAGTGCATAGAATAATTGTTGAACAACATAAGCCTAACTTAAAGAAAGAAAAAATTGAAGAATTATAAATGTAACGTAACAATGCATAAATAAATGGGACTTTATAACTGTTATTTTCATATGCAACAATAATGTCACTTGCATTTACTTTAGGAATTTAAACTGCATTTTTTTTATCACACCTTCCTTGATAACAGGTTACCCAACCAATATTTACCAAGAGTTTATCAAAGTTTGTTTACACAATTAATATTATTTATGTTGCGAATTAGATATAAATGCAGACAAAATAAAACAAATCAGTATAGTTCAGACTACAAAATTTAACCACAACTTTGTAAAATTACCCCCACTATTACATATAAAGGGTGCGTCTTAAAGTCAAGAATTACTGTACTTACAATTGATATCGAGTAATCACAATAACTATGAATGAAGTGAATATAATGAAGAAAAAAAATATGAAAGTTTCCGCGACTGGAGGTATGACGGAATACTGCGGTCGGTGGCTTTCCGGCCTTGTAATGGGAAACCCAATTACAGCGCTTAGCAATTGCTTGGAACAATTAAACCGGTATAGCAATACTTCGAGATATTATGTAACATCGAACGTAAACAAACATNNNNGATGCAACAGTTTATTGATTTCTCTTTTTATTTTATACATTTATTTAACTGGATTATATGAGTATAAACAGGTCTTGTAATGCAATCCGAAAACTTTCTTCTTGAACTTTAATGGAATGTGTTACAGTTATAGGCAGGTTTCCATCTGAGGCGAATTGCATCACCTTGCGCGTATGCAATGAACCCGAAATTTTGGTGGAAGCATGACTTTCCAAAAAGAATTATAGTGGTTAATAGTAAATTGAATGATGAAGGACAACCGGTTCGACGGATGTAATCCGTTCATTATCAAGGCCGTGAAATTGTTATTTTCAGCTGCCAACGCAACACTCCGCCAACTATCCTCCGTATCCGCATTCAGCAAATTGAAAATAAACTTTTTCGCATGAGCCGGTCAATTGGCTTTTAACTGAACGTTCGCTGTAACCCCTTTGTTTTGCTGAATATTACCTTGAGGAATTCTGGGGTCATGTGTTCGCCCTTCATCAGATCGGTGAGCTTCAAGTTCAACTCGACACCAACGGCTTTGGCAGCCAAAAGGACGGCCCTGCATGGGGCGCTGCCGGGAACGTAGTAGAAATCGATGGGCATCTATGAAAAGAAAATTCACCATGAAAGCAAAAACAATTCTAGAAACATTGCTAATAATAGTAGCGGATTATTATTTACGTTGTTGTTTAAACAAACAATTATGTACCGGCCGGCCGGCTTTTTCCGCTTGTCATTACAATTAAACTTACATCACTAACAACTTTGTATTGTAACAATTGTAACTAATATATCTGTTAAACCAGTTATCAACTACAGTATATTCCGCTTAATCGGGACAAATCTTAAAGAACGGAATCAAAACCGAGCAAATAACAAATAGAACTTCGGATAATTGGGACAATCGGGACAACTGTACTAATCCCGTTGTGTCCCGATTAAGGAGAGTCAATTGAATTTACAAAAAAAGGAAATATATTATAATTATTTATTGCAACTGAAGTTGGGAGTGGTTACATTATTATCTAGTTATTTTTTTTGTTGTTATTAAAACTTACGGTTGTTTTGTTAAATGCGTCGGCAATCACACAAGAGAAAAGAGGCGACTGAATTCAGTTGGCGGAGAGCCTTGGTTTATGTACGACCAATTCGTATTCCTCCGCACTCCGCCACCGGTCACGCATTCCCTCACCCAGCTCCACTCGGATCTGGGTTACGTCAGGCCAACATAGATAATCAGCGAGTTGGAGATGAGTTTACTAAATCCGCTATGACTGTTGTAAAATCGTTTCAAAACAACACAAACAAGCAACATTTCTTGCTCTTTCCGTCCAAGGTGCACAATCAATTAATTCAAATCACAATTACTTTAATTAATATCACTTTTCAAATAAACTTGTATAATTGTAATTAAAGTTACTTTTTATTGCAATTATGAATATTTACAATGATCAAAGGACAACATTGCTAATTTTACAAATTATTGTTGTTTAAAAACAGACTAATCATAATTAAAGTTTCTGTTTTATTACATTCATGAATATTTAAAATACACATAAAATGTCATTAGTTAAAAAAAATTGTATAATGAAAACTCTTCAATTTGCCATTTCTTAATTTCAATATTATAATTCTTTTTATCATTTGTCTTCAGTATTTTTGTTTAGTAGTTAAAACACACATAAATCATGTCTACTTTTAGTATTTTTCTCTGTCGACGAATTCAAATTGTTAATTTGCAAATATTTTCATTTGAAGTTCTTAGCAAACTTTATTTAAACAAATGATTATTATTAATATTTACAGTATTTTTTTATACTAAATTATTCTTGCAGACAAAAAAAATATTAATTACTATTTTTATATTTTTTTAGTAATAATTATCGTCTTATTTGATGTTTATAGTTATCAACTATAGATAAGATAAATATTAGATTCAACTAAACTTCTTTAAGATACACCAGATAGCTTAATGAATTGCAGAAAATGCTCTAATTTATATATTTCATTATATTACCGAAGTAAATGTTTGTAACATGTTTAATAACCAATGTAAATCTCTGTAGAGTAGCGTTTGTCAACCTTTTCACTATTATTCTTGGCATATTTGTATGTAATTCTGAAAATATCATTGCATTCCAGTAATAAAATCAAATTTCTACATTTAATCTAAACCAGTATATAAATCATTTTGTACAATCAGGTTTACACTACATTAGATTTGTTACTTTTCAGTTGTTTTTATTATACATGTTGAACAATAAAGAATTACATAGTTGTATCAATAACTATAAAGCAAAGACTTATGACCTTTTGAAACATTTCACGACGCTTTGAAATATGAAAGAAAATATTACTTTCAAAAGCGAGAGAGAACCAGGTTTAATTAGAAAAATGAACCCCGAACTTCAATGTGTATTTAAACAATAATGTAAATCTTCGAATCTAAGAAGTCCAACTAATGTACTGTATAATGTAAAATTTATTAAATAGTTAATAAAAAAGCTAAATTTGTTGAAAACTCTAATGCTTATTTTAGTTTGAATTATTATTAATAATTTTTAGATAATAAAACATGTTTCAATGTATTTAAAATATTTCAAATAAAATAAATCTTAAACAATATCTAATGCATAGTTTAATTCCGTACGATAATGATTGAAGTGACTTTTCTTTTATTCAGTTCATAACATATTATTTCTAATTGAAATAATATCAATTTACGATTCGCATATTTATAAATAGTAAGTATTAGATTTTCGCATTAGAAGTTTCGATTTACACTTAATACAACTTGACACAACATACGATTCCTATATTTTTTATCTAACTGTGAGCTTATCATAAGCAAAGATAACCGAGTAAAGTGCGTGCCAACAAGTTTATAATAGTTCTAGAACATTATTTATTACTTGCATATTATGTGTTTGTTTTCACATTTATCAACACAATTATGGTATTGATAAAAAAAGCGATACTTCATTTGATACTTAAGTGACTAATTAAATACAGAATTACCTAACAAAGTGCGGCAAAACGATTCCGACAATATTTCAGACTTTTTAATACCGGACTAATCGATGAACTAAAGAAATAATTGTATTATTGTATTTAATTTAAACTTATTTTGCTCAAATAAAATTTAGTTTATTTTGAAATATTGTAGTCAGATTTTCTGATAGATTCCGCACTATATTCACATATAAAGTTTTTAATAATTAAGTAAAGCAATTAAACAATGAAATTGATAAGTTTTCAACAAATACGTGCATTTAGATTGCATGTCAGAAACTTCAGATTTGCAATTGAAATGAACGAAATCCGTGCGAAAACTTAATTGAACGCCATTACACGTACAAAGTGCATTGCTTATGTTCGGAATAAATTCCGGATTGCGTAATCTGTTCATTGTTTGAGTGAATGAATGGTTACATTGTGAATTAAAATTGAATTCCTGTTTTCAATCACAAATTATTTCATAATTAGTTCAGTTTTTATTTATAATTCAAGTGGTTGTTTTACTGCGCGTTTTTTGTTACTGCGCGCTTTTGTCCTATACGTTAATATAAGATACTTTAGATATTAAGTTAGTTAAGACAAGACTGTATTTCATTACATATTTTGTTTTCATTGGAATGAATTAGTATAGTTTTGTTAAATTATGTTTAAGTAAATGTATGATTCTATTGTGAATTAAAATTGAATACGTGCTTTCAGTCACAAATTATTTCTTAATTAATTCCGTCTTTAATTATCATTCAAGTGGTTGTTTTAATGCGCGCTTTTCTTACTGCGCTCTTTAGTATGCGCGTTTTTGTCCAATACGTGCCCATTTCTTTTGCAAACAACAAAATGATTAGTTAATAATAAGTAATCTAAAATACTTTAGATATTAAGTTAGTTAAAACAAGACTGTATTTCATTACTAATCTAGTTTTCATTGAAATTCCTGTTTATAGTCACAAATTATTTAATTAATTCCGTCTTTAATTATCATTCAAGTGGTTGTTTAAATGCGAACTTTTGTCGTGCGCGCTTTTGTTACTGCGCTCTTTAGTATGCGCGTTTTTGTCCTATACGCGCCCATTTCATTTGCAATCAACAAAATGACTAGTTAATAATAAGTTGATCTAAGATACTATAGATATTAAGTTAGTTAAGACAAGACTGTATTTCATTACAAATCTTGTTTTCATTTGAATTAATTAGTATAGTTATGTTAAATTATGTTTAAGTAAATGAATGATTCTATTGTGAATTAAAATTGAATTCCTGTTTTCAGTCACAAATTATTTATTAATGAATTTCGTCTTTAATTATCTTTCAAATGCTTGTTTTTCTGCGCGATTTTGTTATTGCGCTCTTTAATATGCGCGCTTTTGTCCTATACGCGCCCATTTCATTTGCAACCAAAAAAATGTTAGTTAATAATAAATAAGATACTTTAGATATTAAGTTTGTTAAGACAAGCCTGTATTTCATTACTAATCTTGTTTTCATTGGAATTAATTAGTATAGTTATGTTGAATTATGTTTCAGTAAATGAATGATTCTATTGTGAATTAAAATTGAATTCCTGTTTATAGTCACAAATTATTTAATTAATTCCGTCTTTAATTATCATTCAAAAATTTGTTTTACTGCGCGCTTTTGTTACTGCGCTCTTTAGTATGCGCGTTTTTGTACTATACATTTAATTTGTAACCAAAAAATTAGTGGTTAATAATAAGTTAATCTAAGATTTAATATCTAAATTAGTTAAATTAATCTTGTTTTCATTGGAATTATTTGTATAATTATGTTAGAACTAAATGTGTAAACTAACATTTCTAGATGGATTAGATAAAAAGTTAATCTAGGATAATTGAGACATTGGATAGTATGTAATTTTGGATTTAGTTTTCTTTCAAATTAATTAGTATAATTGTGTTAATGGGACAATTCAAATCAATCATCAGTTCAAATAACATCCACAATATTCATTGCTTAACTTTCTTTATGTTCGTAAGCAATATTATTATAATTGCATATCTCGAGCAATCAACACTCCTAGTAAATTCCTCGACGTATTCCACACTTATTCAGCCAGGAATTCGATTAATATTTTGACTTATATCGAAGCTTCTCTTGTGAAATTTAATCATAAGAGAATACCAAACCAGAAATGGCAAAATATATATTGTTATTTGCATCGAATTGATGAATACAAACAAAAAGTAAGAACATGGTGAGAACAATACTAATCACGGTTGCAATAAACGAGTCACAGATCTCAAGGCCTCAGTTTCGGCATATTATTACGTACCCAAAAACAGAGACTTTGTTTTCGCCGCTTCTTAATGCAATTACAAATATTTACTTAACTAATTAATTTGTATTTGGACACAAATAACTTTTAATTATAAAATTTTGAATTTATATTTTAAATAACTAGTCTTAGTCGATGTGTTGAATCGATTCATACCTTTTTCCTTTATTAGCAATGGGATAATGAGTTTGGATTGGATTGGATACAAAAGTAAGGCGTCAGAGTCCTACGCTGTTTTCGAATGAATAATTAATTGAACTAGAAGCGATTCAATCCATTTCGATGTCTAATAGCAAATATTGATTACAACAAATCGTGTGTTTTGTGACTTGCAGGTTCTCCTACTAGCAGCAATGTTACGTGCGATATGACTAATAGTTCATCAAGGCTGTATGTCGGTACATGGAAATGGGAATGCGACAGGAAACTAACTCTCACTCATTTAGTGTATATCTCTACAAATTGTGACTTTGCATTATATTCCCATAATAACATTATAACAAAAAATATAAATAAACAAGAAAATTTGCGTGTATAACGAAATATTATGCAATTTGTCATCAATTAGATAATTTGATAATTTGTAGATAAAATGAAATCACGAAAAAAGAAAAGTTTCGTCATAGGCAAAAAGTACTTTAAAATTGGTACTTTCATCATCATAATTTGAAGGTTTTTTGTGTGTTTTACTTCATGTATTTGGATATGCAAGAATTATTATGTTGCGTGCACTTAATATGTTGGGAATGTAAAGAAATCGTCATGACAATTACAGTTTGAATATTTCAATAGATGAGGGAGGTTTTCGATTTTATTTCGTGCTCGCAATTATCACGAAATACTCCAATT